TCCAGCAGTCACAGGTGACGGAGTTAGGGTGGGACTGGGATGGGATAACTAATTTCTGCAAATCAGGCAGAGACTGTTGTCTGGAAACCACTCTGCTAATGCATTGGAAGTAGCACAAATCTCAGCTACTTCTGGTGTGGTGTTGCAGTGACTCTGAGGTATATGTAAGGGGTCCCTTCTCTGAGTTCTTCTCAGTCTTTCCCAACATCCTAAAAACAGAGAAACAAAAAAATAATGTGCAGCATCTCCTCTGACCCTTTACACAGAAGTTTGAATTGTGTCTGCATGTGGGATTTTAGGGGTCACACATCTTTTCTTCGTCTGAGAACCAGGACTTCACATTTCCCCTTTTGCTTCCCTCGAATCTCTTCTCTTATAAACACGAATGTGGCCTTTTTTTTGTTTGCCTAGATGTGGGAGGTAGGTTGGAATTGGGACTGGCTAATGGGTATGGGAAGGAGAAGATAATGAAAATCTACAATTCATTGTGGTGATGGCTGCATAACTGTGAAAATATTAAAAATGAATGAACTGTACTTTTTAAAAAATTTATCTTTATTGTTGAAAGTATTACAGGTGTCCCATTTTTTCCCCCCAATTGACCCCTTCCACCTCGCTCCAACCCCCTCCCCAGGCCTTCACCCCGTCATTGTGTCCGTGGGTTATGCATATATGCATATAACTTCTTTGGTTAATCTCTTCCCACCCTCCACCCCCCTTCCCTCTTCCCTCTGAAATATGATCGTCTGTTACATGCATCAATGTCTCTGGATCTATTTAGTTCATCAGATTCTTTTGTTCATTAGCTTCTTATTAAAGAAGACCCTTCAACATTTTCTGTAGCGCTGGTCTGGTGGTGATGAACTCCTTTAGCTTTTCCTTGTCTGAGAAGCTCTTTATCTGACCTTCAATTCTAAATGATAGCTTTGCTGGGTAGAGTAATCTTGGTTGTAGTTCCATGTTTTTCATCACTTTGAATATTTCTTGCCAGTCCCTTCTGACCTGCAAAGTTTCTGTTGAGAAATCAGCTGACAGTCGTATGGGTGCTCCCTTGTAGGTAACTAACTGCTTTTCCCTTGCTGCTTTTAAGATTCTCTCTTTGTCTTTAACCTTTGGCATTTTAGTTATGATGTGTCTTGCTGTAAGCCTCTTTGGATTCCTCTTGTTTGGGACCTTCCGTGCTTCCTGGACTTGTAAGTCTATTTCTTTCCCCAGGTAGGGGAAGTTTTCTGTAATTATTTTTCCAAATAGGTTTTCAATTTCTTGCTCTCTTTCCTCTCCTTATGGCACCCCAATAATACGAATGTTGGGCCTCTTGAAGTTGTCCCAGAGGCTCCTTATGCTATCTTCATATTTCTGGATTTTTTTTTCTTTTGGCTCTTCTGGTTGGGTGTTTTTTGTTTCTTCATGTTCCAAATTGCTGATTTGATTCTCAGCGCCCTCTGCTGTACTGTTGATTTTCTGTAAATTATTCGTTTCAGTTCATGTAGCCTTCATTTCAAATTGGTCCTTTATTATGTCATCAATTTTCTCACTTATTTTCATCATACTCTTACTAATATCCTTGAGCATCCTTATAACCATTATTGTGAACTCTGTATCTGTTAGCTTGCTTGGTTCTATTTCATTTAATTCCTCTTCTAGAGATTCCTTCTGTTCTTTCCTTTGTGACATGTTTCTTTGCCTCC